GAAAATATCCTGTGACTTCCATATGGGAAAATAAAAGGTGGCAAGGGTCAACAAAGACCTAGCTGTACAGCATATTAACTTGGCATTCTTTATCTGTCTTAAAAAGAACAACACTAATTGTTTAAAACAAACCTAAGGAAGTTAAGCCGTTCTTGGACTTCTTGAACATGACTATATCTACTTCCCAGCCTCACAGTTTGTGGGTCATAGTCTTCATGGTCTGCAAATTAAGAAAAATCATGCATTATACACAATGGATACCCACATCATTGCTGACTTCAAAGGAAATTAAGTCAGTTAAAAAGTCATTAATCCTCTATCACTAAAAGGCAACCTGAAGTTTACCAATTATTGGTGGTTTCTACCCATCTCCTATTTTCCCAACAAAAAGCAGCTTTTCTTTTACATAATCAAAAGAAAATTATCTGTTAAATGTGTGGTCGGAAATAATTCTTCATACAACCCCTTTACCCAATTTTCATACACAATGAAGTAACTTCTGATTACAGCCTAAGACTGATCTGTGTGGTCTGTGAACATGAACTATCCACCAAAACAAAGGTTTTTCTTCCATTTCTTTCCTGTTATACTGAAATCTGTCTTCGTGGAGGAAAACATATAGCTATAAAAATATATTATATTACTAATCTCTATCTAGGAAGTTAGAGTAAAAACGATGCTATTCTACGTAATGAAATTATACAGTTATCACCACTGGCATGTTACCAAAGTTTAAAACTGTCTCAGGTTTAAGAAAACGTACCTTTCATCATGACCATAGATAGATATTGGTCACTAGGCCTAGCTTAATTTGGAAATTCCTTCAAAAAAATTTTTTTAATAAAAAAGCTAGTAAACCCTTTTGTTATACTTTCATTACAGCATATGATGGGTGAAAAGTCTCAGTGTTCACAATGAAAGACCACAGCAAAAAAATCTTTAAAAGCATCTAAAAGTTCTAAAAACACTTTGGACAGTGTTTGTTTTTATTTTGTTGGAAAAAACCACATGATCTGGAAATGGTCAAGATGATTTGTGACTTAGAGCAGAAGCTGAAGCAAATGCTCTGACAAGTGCTGTCAACTACTCAGGCATCACTGACATTTCTTCCCCAAAGTTGAGGCAAATTATGGAGGAGTAAGAAATTGTGTAATTTCCCTTTAGCATTAATCACTGGTATTTCCATATCCTGAACCTTATGGTATGAGTGTGCTATGCCAAAGAATTTTAACCCTGAGACCCTTTGGAAACAGTAAAGGCAATCAAAGACTTCTAAAACAGCGAGGTTTCTTTTCTGAACAAAATCTTAACATGCTGTACAGGTGGAACATTTACAACGTTTAGAAACATTTTTTGATGCTTTGGTGAAGAAAAGCAGCCCAATGTATTATGACTGACTGCTTTCAACTTCCACATATACTGCTATCTACCCAAAGTCCTAAAAGCATATTGTCTACTCCCACAAAAGTCCATTTCATCAGGGCTCAGGATTTGCAGTACTATTTCCCAAGAGGTTTTCTCAAGAAACTGGATAGAATATCAAATTCTATTCCACTATGTAGAAATTTTCTTTTTCACAGCACCAGTCTTAAAGTATCTGAATAAACAATGGACTTTTTTTTCCTTAACAAGGAGTTTATATACAGGTTTGTTTACTTGGCAGGTCATTTTTTTAGGGAAAATTCTGCAAACGAATATTTCTGAATAACAAAGACATTCTCTTCCATAACCACATACAGTTATCAAATTAATACTGATATGACAGGATCATCTAATCCAAGGCTTCTCGACAGCACATTACTGACATTTAGGGCTGGATAATTCTTTGCAATGTGGAATTGCCCTGTGCAGTGTAGGGTATCTAGCAGCATCCCAGAACCCTATACCTACAAAATTCCAGTAGCATCCTTGTCCAACTCCTCCCCCACCCCCAGTTAAGATAACCAAAAATATCTCCAATTTTATCAATGTCCATTTATGCTTTCTTTTCTCCAAATCCAAGATTAAATACATACTGCATTTAGTTGTCATGCTTTTCAATTCTTTAATCTCAAGAATTCATTACCCTTTGTATTTCTTGACCTTTTAAAAAACTGAGCCAATTTTGTTGTGTTGCTTAATGTGGGCCTCTCTGATGCCTCCTCATGATGAGATTCAGGCTAGGCATGTTGCCAAAGAGTACCACAGAGGTGACCCCACATCCTCCTCAGAGAATCCTTATCAGGAGGAACATCATGTCACTCCGTGGCAGCATTCATGTTAACTTTGGTCAATGTGATTTCTGCCAGGTTTCTCTACTGTAAAGTTACTGTTTTTCCGTTTGTAATTAGTGGGGAGATACTTTGATACTATGTAAATACCTTATCAAAATTTTACCCACTAGTTTTTAGAACCCTCCCCGCCCCTCCCCTATTTCCCTTTTTATTTAGGTGGTAGCACTTTATCAAGAGTTGGGACCCTGGACATAAGGAAGAGATTTGAAAATATTCAATGAAAGCCAAACAATAATAATAATAAAAAAAAAAGTCAAGAAAAAAGAAGATCCCTCTATGCTAAATAGGAAGGGAGAGGCCCTACACTTTGCTACAGAGAAGCTTCTGGGTTTTTAAAAAAAGAAGGTTAGTGCTTTTCCCTGTAAACATTCAGCTCCAAATAAATAATGTGATTAGTTAGCAGTCAAATAAAATGGATGATCCAGTTCTGACTCATGTTACCTACCCAGGAGATATTTCACTGAAAACAGCAGGAGAAATTAAATGAAACTAAATTAACTCAAGTGTCTATGACTAAGGCTAAGACAAACTGGTTTTTGTTATTGCAACTGGCAAGTTGTCTAGAATTGATTTCTAACTCATTAAAGATGAAATTCACTTTTTAAAAAGCATCTTTCTTGAGACATAATCCAACTCCCATAAAACCCACCCACTTAAAATGTACAATTCAATGACTTTTGTATAGTCACAGCTCTGAAATCATTACAATCTACATTTACAAAATTTTTCATCACCTCAAAAAAGAAACCCCACAGTCACTCCCTTTCCCATCTCATCCCCACCCTTAGTCTACTTGAGACATGTAACATGAATGGAATCATTAACTATGTAGTCTTTTCTGACTGGCTTTTTTCCACTTAGCATAATTTTTTTTTCAGTGTTCATCCATGCTGTAACATTCTTTTCACTGGTGAATAGTATCCCATTGTAGGGATATATGACATCGTTTATCCATTCTTTAAAATGATGGACATTGGGTTGTCTCCCCTTTATGAACAGTGCTGTTGTGAATATTTAGTAAGTTTTTACATGGATCTATGTTTTCATTTCACTTGGGTATATAATTAGGAGTGAGTCACAAGACAGTCTATGTTTACTATTTTCAGGAACTACTAACCTGTTTAGTAAAGTGGCTGAACCACTTTACAACTGGCACAAGCAACAGATAAAGGCTCTAATTTTTCCACGCCCTTGCTAACACCCGTCTTTTTTATTTTTGTCATCCTAGTAGGTATAAAGTAGTATCTCATTGAGGTTTTGATGTGCATTTCCTTAATAACTGATGAAACTGAACATCTTTTTATGTGTCTACTGGACATTTATATAACTTTGGAGAATGTCTATATAGACCTTGCCCATTTCTTAACTGGGTTATTAATTACTGAGCTGTTAAGACACAAGACTTTTGTCAGATACATGGTTTGCAGATTATTTTCTCCCATTCTTGGGTTGTCACTTTACTTTCTTGATAGTATCTTTTGCAGCAGTTAACGTTTAAATTTTGATATAGTCCAATATATCATTGTTTTTTATCCTTACAATTTTTCTTTGCCCAACTCAAACTCACACTGAATTCCAAACATTTATGAGACTCTTTCTTCCCATCAAATATTCCTGGCACCTTTACAAAAATAAAGTGCCCATAAACACAATTATTTACTTCTGGACTGTTGATTATATTCCATTGATGCATACATCTATCCTTATGGCAGTACCACACTGTTTTGATTACTGTTACTTTGTAATAAGCTTTGAAATCATGAGTTGGCCAACTTTGGTATTTATCATCAAGATTGTTTTGGCTATTAGGGTCCCTTGCATTTCCATGATTTCTAGGATCAGCTTGTCAATTTCTATAAAAAGGGAAAAAAAGGAAGTTGGGATTTATAGATTGCATTGAATCTGTAGATCAAATTGTGGAGTACTGCCATCTTAACAATAGTAAGTCTTTCATTCCATGAAAGTAGGATGTCTTTCCATTTATTTAGATCCTTACTTTCTTTCAACAATGTTGTTTTGTAGTTTTCAGTGACTAAGTTTTGTATTTCTTTTGTTCAGTTTACTCCTAATTACAGTTGACCCTTGAACAACACAGGGATTAATTTAATAATTTAAATTCAGCTCTCCGTATCTGTAGTTCCTCTACATTCACAGATTCAACCAACCACGGATTGGGTAGTATAGTCCTGTAGTGTTTACTATTGAAAAATATCTGTGTATAAGTGGACCTGCACAGTTCAAACCCAAGCTTCCAAGAGTTAACTTTATCTATTGTAAATGGAATTATTTCTTAATTTCACTTTCAGGTTGTTTGTTGCCAGTGTGTAGAAATACAATTTATTTTTGTATATTAATTCCTGCAATCTAGGGGAATTTATTTATTAGTTTTAATAGATTTTAGCAGATTCTTTTGGGTTTTCTGTGTATGAGATGGTGTCATCTGTGATTAGAGATAGTTTACTACTTCTTTTCCAATCTGGATGCTTTTTCTTTCTTTTTCGGGCCTAGGTGATTTGGCTATCATCTCTAGTAGCAAACAGAAGTGACCAGAGTGGACATCCTTGTCTCATTCCTGATCCTAAGGGGAAAGCAGCCAGTCTTCCACCATTAAGTATAACGTTACCGATCAGTTTTTCCAGATACCCTTCATCAGGTTGAGGAAGTTCCCCCTTCTCTGGCTAGTCTGTTAAATGTTTTTTACAATGAAAGGTGTTGGATTTTTATCAAATGCCTTTTTTCACTCCATCTACTGAGATGATTTCATGGTTTTGACCTTTTAGTCTATTAATATGGTGTATTACAACTGACTTTTGGGTGTCAAATCAACGTTGTATTCTAGGAATACATTCCATTTGGCCATGGTGCATAATTCTTTTTATATGGTGCTGAATTCCATTCACTTATTTTTGTTTTTTGAGAATTTCTGACTCTATATTCACAAGGTATATTGTTCTGTAGTTTTCTTCTAATGTCTATATTATTTTGGTATCAGGGTAATAATGGCTTCATGGAATGAATCCAGAAGTGTTCCTCTATCTTTTTGGAAGAATATGTGAAAGACACGTGTTAATTCTTCTTTAAATATTCAGTAAAGTTCACTAATAAAGTTATCTGTTTCTGGCCTTTTCTTTGTGGGAAGTTTTGTGATTACTAATTCAATCTTTTTACTTGTTATAGGTCGATTTAGATTTTCAATTGCTCCGTGAGTCAATTTTAATTTTTTTTTAAGGTTAGTGGTGATGCCCTCTCAATTTAGACTTTCATAACTGAGCCTAAAGGTTTGTCGATTTTGCTGATCTCTTTGAAGAACCAACTTTCACTTTCATTTAATCTAGTTTTCTCTTCTCTATTTCATTTATTTCCATTCTAATCTTTATTAATCTCTTCCTTCTTGTTTTCAGTTTAGTTTTTGCCTACTTTCTGAATGTGAAAGGTGAGTTACTGATTTGCTACCTTTCTTAATGTAGGTAGGAATTCAGTGGTATAAATTTCCTAAGCACTGATTGAGGAACATTCCATAAATTTTGGCATTTCATATTCTTTTTCATTCATCCCAGCATATTCTCATTGCACTTATCATTTCCTCATTTCACTTGTCACTTCCTCTTTGACACACTGGTTAGTAAGGAGTGTATACTTTCCACATACTTGTGAAATTCCCAAATTTTTAAAATTTATGATCTGTCCCACAGAATATCCTGTATATACATGAGAAGAATGTACATTCTGCTGTTTTGGAGTGGAGTACTCTATAGATATAGGACCAAAGCCCTAAACTGGCAGCTGTGGGGGGAGGGAGTCAGTTGTGGTTCAAATGCTACAGATTCTCACTTGCTGTTCTTCCAGACTTGGTAGATTTTCTTGAATACATGTTTCCTCATTTGTTATCTTATTAGCACATTTCCCAGACACTTTAAATGACTATTTTAAAACAATGATATCCCAAAGAGAAAGTCTACTGAACATCTTAACTCTCATCATTCTAGAAGTTAAATCCCTCATCCCTTGGTTTTCTAAAAATTACCATCATATGTTCTACATTTATTAGTTGGTATTTTCCCTTCTTTTCACTCTAAGTTTGTGTTTTATTTAATGGGTTTAGTTATTTTCATTATTTTGACCCAGTTCTGGCCAGTAGGAGCCAACTCCTGTACTTTTTTAAACACATATCAACACAATTCTTTAAGCACTTTCTTACTTTATGGAATAAGATGTTCAAGGATAATGTTGTACTTTCCCTGCACCAGGACTGGAAACAGCCATTATTCCAGAGAGTTATAAACTATACACCAGATACTACTAGAGTAAATTTTAAAAAATCACAAAGAACCCACACAGACTTAACAAGATTTCATGGTTAATGTATGGGAATGGGTCAGAGCTACTGGGAAAGTCTAGCCTAGGATTTGCATCCTAACACAGAGCGCCATTGGTGTGAATGACACTCATGAAGAAATCTTTTATGGGGGAAAATGTTCTTAAAAACTGCCAATGTTGGACGCAAAAGGCAGGGGAGAGGTAACTGAAAGTGGCAGTCCTTAGAAGACAGATGCAAAAATGTAATCTACAATAAAGACAAGTTCTCCAGCTCTACTCAGAAACCACAAAAAATGATAAATAAAACTTTCGTTAAGTGTTCAAATCAGTACAAAGACTATCCTACCAATGAGGTAAAACTTAAAAGTGAAAACTGAAAGGTGGTTTTATACTTTGTTACACACATATAAAAAACTTTTAAAGAATGATTTGGTAAGCATCAGTGCTTGAAGGCACTATTATTAAAAGCACATGAGTAAATATTGAAGAGAATTTCTAAGTTCATTACTTCATCTAAATAATGTTAAAATATGAGGTAGACTCAGCTGACCGTACACCTGAGGAAATGCTTCCCACCTCCAAGTTTCAAAATACTAGCAGAGATGAAATATGGGCGGGACAAATACTTAATATTGGTGAAACTGTTATCAGAAATTGAGAGTATCAATAAACTGGGAGTCTGATGTTATCCTGCTAAGTAGTATCTCATACCTAATGGGATTTATGCAACACTTACTATACAGAGGCAAAAAAAAAAGTAATTTATTGTAGAATTGCAAATTTGGAAACAAGTGGATGATATTACCACAGAAGAGATTTAAATGCTGTGAAAAGTTTGTTTTAATAGGAGAATTTTACTAGCTTTAAAAATTACTCTCTCCCATATTTAAGTATTTGGAAACTGATCAGTGTTAATCAGAAGAGTACTATAATAGAGGAGGAAAAGGTATCAGTTAGTTAGGACAAACAGAAGGTATGGTGTCAATAAATTCAGGGGAACATATCAACAGCAACAAAAATTCAAGAGCTTACTACTATGTGCCAGGCATTGTCCTAGCATAAATAACTTGTTCAAGGTCATACACCTAACATGTTGGGTCATGTTTCAAATCCAGGCAATCTGACTATGCAGATTCTCATGTCTTACTTTGTGAAGATACAGACAATATAACGAGGGGAAACTGAAGACTGAAGACCACTCCTGTGACAATGAAATTGAGATGAAGCAATGACTCACACAGAAGTTAGCTACAAGGGAGTAGAAAACCCTAGTGAGGCTGAACTGCACATACACCATCTTCTGACAGCCTTGACAGGAGGGTTCTCTAACAATACCTTTGACAATGAAATTAAAAAAAACACCACAAGCAAATGAAGCAATTAAAAATTAGCACTGTAGCACATTAAGATTTATATTAAGGCTCCATTTTGGGGGAAAGCTTGCATTGGCATCTGTGAGGGCTTTGTACCAGAAAGAGGTGACATCATAACAAAGAATCTGAGTTACATTAAACTGAGCCCAGATGCTTGAGTGCTTGGGTATACTACATGCAAATCTCTTATGCCTCTCTCAGATTTTGTTTGTATTTCGTAGAGAACATAAATCATATGGCTGCACGCCTTTGTTGCCCTGATTATTCTATCATGCTTAGAAGGAACTTAGGACTGAAATGATAAAAGATTAGTGTCCCATGCCTATCAGCAGCTTGATGCTTAAGATTGCTTCTCTAGCTCTACAATCTATTGCCTAGGAGGACTCAGCTGGCCCAGAGTGGTAAACAGAAGAAGAGAGAGTCAACAAAAATAATACAGGTATCTGAGAGCTGCTTAATTTTTCAGGTGTCTTTATCTGAATTTTATATGGGAATGTATGTATGTACCTTAAGTGTTAAGCAAAAACCTCATGATTTACAAGCACCTTGGTTGGGATTTTATTCAACAATGCCAAGAGTCTAACTCTTCAAATAATGATTATTAAAGCTATCCTCATTATATACACATATAGGCTT